TTTAGTTAAAGTTAAAAAAACTTTTAAATACAATACCAGTAAAAATCATATCATTCATGAATTTGATCATGTACACGCCCTTGGAATAAAAGACGTACTATGTCTGCCATGTCTGTCAGTGTTTTTGAGGACTGTCTTGGAAAACTGTCTCTAGTATAAGTTTATTTCTGATGGCTATAAAGATAGCGGTTACATGATGTCATGAACCACATGAAAGTTCGATCAGCCATCTAGGGACATTCTCGCCATTTCCTTCGTATGACACTCCTTATCGACCTTATCTTTCCACCACCTGCATGCAATTATAATAACCAAACTATCTACCCCAATGGCAATGTCTCAGCCGGAAAGGCATAAAATTCCTACATATACTTCGAAATCCGGTCCGAATTTCAAAGTATGCCATATATATTAATGCAGACAATTGAGTTGTGAGAGCATTCATATATTTCGTTTGCTATTATTACATAAAGCCACTCCAAATTAGACTAGTTTAGTGAAAGAATCGACCCATAATCCATATGGAATGTTTTGGATTTTTTGTATGCAGAAATGTTAATTAACATTATAATTAACGTCTTTTTTACCTTATGTTATCCTTTTATTATGTTCGAAAATCAAAACGTGTAAAGGAAGTATGTAGCTCAGCGATTACTGTAGACTGTAGTAAAAACGAACAAAAACCAATTCACGCTCTTTCATTATTTGAAAACTGTCGATTTTCGAATTTTTCGTTATTGTTGATAGTCATAAAGATTAAAGATTAAATAATGGAAACACGTTACCAAATACCAATACTGGACAAATCATGCGGCCAGTTCTAGGAGACTCGGGCGGAGGACGGGAAACTAAAGTCTAATTGCAATAATTTGGAGTGGCTCTGCAGTGACAACGATATGCGTTTCGCTTTGTGGCAGTGTTTGTATGAAATTTTTGTGAAGCCAAATTGATTCGCGTGTAGCCAATTCGAAACGGCAATATTGCATGACGCATTGTGTTTTAATAACGAATAATGTTCTAATTTCGATACAGAAATCTTTCTCATTCATCGCTGGATTTTTTATAAACGACATGAGTCATGCACGACTCTTGGATATGTTTGCATATGTAAAGAATTATACAATAAAAGAAATATCGAGAGAAATACTAGTCAAGTAGTAGAATATCTCGCATCTGTCTACAATTATTAAAGACCTCGATTAAAGACTGCTGTATAATCCATGCAATATTGGTAAGTAACATATTTAGCTATGATTGTGCATGTCGAAAAGAATAAGAATATTCACATTGTCTCTTTTGAATATTTGATACTTACTGAAGATATCTGTGGGGGAAGCTACTTATAGCTACTAGTGTCCTTTTATAGTCAGATTTCTCTGTCATTGATATTGTGATAATATGTATATAAACAAGTCCTGATTGGTAAAATAATACAAGGAGTGACTTATTTGGTAAAGTTAATAATAAAATCCGCTCTGAGATTAGACTTTCGCAAAGTCCTTCGTTTTGGTTTAGAACGAAGGAATTTTTCGCGACTTCGTCATTTGAGGTCGACTTGTAGCAAGTCTACTCAGAGATCAGTCAACCAATTGTATTATTGCACCGCACTAAATAATGACGTCATTCTGATGAAAGGGAATTCCCCGTATCGTGAAGTATCGTAGAATGATCTTTATTGCACAATCAGCCAAGCGAAACATAATATACTCATTCGCGAATTACATGTAATTCGTTGCCGTGGCTTGTGAGTCGCTAGCTGGTGGCGAAGGCATTAACCAAATCAATAAACTTTATACAATTATTTAACTTACACGATATCAACCTTTTGTTTTTTGTATATCTACGACAACTATAGAGTAGAGTTACGAAGGTTAATCAATGGCGAAATGGGTTTGTCTCTTTCGCGTGGGAAACGTCATGCCCACGTGCATAAAATATGTTCGGAGTCACGACTTTTAAAGAGTCGACTCATTCAAAATAACGTGGAAGATATATTTAATTTTGTTTCATCTAGTAGGAATTTTTTACCATTGGGATTTGTACAAAAACCGCGTTTCCGCCACACTATGTGCTGTTTGCACTATTATAATACTTAACATAGGCAAGTTGCGGCTTTGTGGTGTAATATAATCTAGAAAATTGCTGATTTCGACACTTCGAGAAAAATACCTTTTATGGTTTCGTGGGAAAGTTTAAAGGTGTAATACATAGAATTATATCTTTGAGGATCAAAAATATTTTTTAGCTAGTTTTTATAACCACGGCCACGGGACAGAACAAATAAAAAGTCATTTAAGCCGGTTTCAGACGAGCAAGTTTTCTATGACAAGTTTATATGTGACAAGTTTTATTTGCTCGTCTGTAGAAAACTTGTCAAAGTAATCTGAGCACTTGATGCAGAAAAAGTATAGTAGTCCGCTGGCCAATCGTCATGGCGGCGATAATTAAACACCTTTTTCTGACACGTTCACACCAGTAAATAAAACATGTCGTATGAAAACTTGTCATATAAAATTTGTTGCATAAACACACGTGCACTTGGCAAATGAAAATTGTCACATAAAAACTTGTCAAAACTTGCTCGTCTGTAAGCGGCTTAATAATATTATGCTTCCGCTCAGACGTAAAAACCCCGAGTATCAGGTTGATTTTTACAGTTACGCATTGGTACGGAGAAAGTTTCAAGCTCTAGCTTAACAAAATAAAGGTTTGATGAGTGTTCCAACTATGTTTGAACTTAAATACAATACATGATAATACATGTTGGGAAAGCATTAAGCCTGCCGCACACGACAGAAACGTGCTGAGCTAACCACCTGAATGCCAGCCGACAATGGACCTTTCACCTTTTGACTAAAATTTAGATCTCAACAAGTCTAGCCAAAAATTTCATCACAACTTGAAAGAGCATCACAAAAGCATCACAAAATTAGTAATATTCCAAAGTTTCGTTGCGAAATGTTGTAAAATGCGGATAATATGGCCTTGCGAAATTTGCAATTTTCAGTCATTTTGTATTACGCGCGGGAAATACATACCTCCTTCGGAAAAAGGGTATGTATTTCCCGTGCGTAATACAAAATGACTGAAAATTGCAAACTTCGCAAGGCCATATTATCTACATTTTACAACATTTCGCAACGAAACTTTGGAATATTACTAATTTTGTGATGCTCTTGCAAGCTGTGATACACTTGTTGAGATCTAAATTTTAGTCAAAATGTGAAAGGTCCATTCCATGTAGTACAAAACATAATCCGAAGAGGTTTTTAACCACCACTGGCCACCATGCACTAGTTATGCATTTTCACCAGCACACGTTGGGAAAACCCGCTCAACAGCAACATCGTCGATAAGATCGTTTGTATTTCTCATTGGCGGCTAGTTGATTCAAGCACCTCAGCACTATAAGCTCGCAACATCTGCAAACATCGAGATTTTTTCCTCGCGAGGTGAAAAAATATCAAACATGCATGATAGATATTTTCCTCAAGACCTCGAGAGGTCAAATCCTCACGAAAAAACAGCTGACCACGGTCGCGTGACTGCCAACTCTCATATGCACGCGCTCATTACCTGAATTCATATTAGAAGACGGATTTCCGTCAGAGATGGGAAACTCGTGTGACGGATTTCCGATACATATATAGAGGGAAGTGAGGGAACGATAATCGATACATATATAGAGGGAAAACTATAAGAACAGATTTGATGCATTGTAAATAGTTACAACATACTTTCCAATTAAAGTTTCAGAAAGTGATACAAATTCATTATAGATTTAAATACGTGATAAATAGACTTACTTTTTTCGATTAGTACTCTTATGACTTGTTCTTTAAAAACTCAGTAACAGAATGACTATGTCATAAATCATAATTGTTGTTAAATTACATAATGTTGCTGACGCATTATATTTATTCACCATATCTAATATTATCTATTGAGTTGTGCGACGTCACTCGTGGGTTCTTACACAGCGGTAAAGCTAGCCTGCTGCTCCATTTACTGTTCGGAGTAGTCCGGATTTTCGGAACACTAATGGAATGGAACAGAAGAGTCACATGACTGTTCTGAACTGTTCTCACTATTACGATTTTCGAGAAGTGCAACCAGAACCGACACGTAACACTGCCTATTGTCGCGTTATTGGAAATGGAGGCGACATATTTTGTGTATCCAATGCACACTGTATAGAGCGTTATTTTGAAGGGTTAACCGCTATATTTCGACATATGCTTATTATATGCTATTTGAAAGCCAGGGTTGGGCAAAATCAACGAGTAAAAACGTTGCAAAAGCATACGTAGATGTACAAATAACAGCGAATCATTATACGCTTTATTATGCGAATAACTAATTAGTCGGTGGGGCCACCTGTGGTGCCCACCGACTCTAGGTTTGCCCTTTGGTACGCCACAAAATGACAAATTACGTCATTTTAATTACGTAATTCTTACGAAATCAAAATCAAAATGGCGACCATGGAATAGCATGCGGCAAAAGTTCGGTATTGACTATTTGGTCCAGTGTCTTTTCTTTTGGGGTTTTTGAAAGGAATATATTAAGAATTCACTAAAAGTTATCATGAGGTTTCACTGTTATGTTATCGAGGAGGGAAGTGAATATTTTGTACATAATTTAAAAATATTTAATTTGAAGTTTGTATCGCGCGGCGGAGATATCGGGCGCGCAAATTCAGTTGATGCTTGCTATATATTTACTATTGAATTTTCGAAATCTCCGGCGCGCAATTTCCAAACTGTCCAGTCAGTAATAATATTTTGGTCTTTTGGATCTACATAAATTGAACTTAAAGTCAGACATCGTCTGCTTCTTTCGAGTCTACGTAGTCCTATTCCTATTAGTATTAGCCTAAATAGCATAAAATGATAAAAATAATTAAGGTTAAGGTTCATTGGGACAAAATGTATTACCAAAAGCTGAAAAGGTGGAAATCAATTTCCTGTAACTTGGAATCTTTCTTAGCACAATAACATATATTATTATATTATTATTATAGTAGATATGACTGAAGCGTTATTGCTATACATGATTGTAGACACAGGTCATTACAACTGGTTGCTTAGTAATCTGACCACGATATATCCTCTCCTCTCTTTTGAGGCCGCCAATTGTATTAGACAATGGAGCAGACACGTTATAATGCGTCTAGTTTCGAGGCGAAGAATATTCTTGCCTTCCAGCGTTCGATGCACTAACTAGCTTGCTATTAAGGTTACATTATATGATGAAACTCTGATTTTGTCCAAAAAATTATTTTTATATATTCATATTAAGTAATGATATATCTCTCAATTCCAGCAACTTTTTTAAGAATATGTTAAAAAGCGACCGAGATATAGGGGAAAATGCTATGACCACTGAATAGCTTTGCGCGAAACTTGTAATTTAATGATTGAACTTTGCTGGCGTCAAATATCAAGGTGTGAAATTCATTAAAGTATAAGCCGTTTGTTATTGTTATTTAATGTTGGATTGCATCATAGACTACACTCCATGCTGAATTCAGCGCACTGATCTGTTTTGCGTGCGTGGTTTCCTCTGTCTGCTGGGAATTCGTAGTCAAGTGCGGCGGCTAAATAAACTGAGTGCGTCGTCACATGCAGTGATATCAAAACAGACAAGAAGAATCTTCAAGAATGGCCGCGCAATTACGAAACATGTTTTACTATGTAGTGCTACAACGGTGTTCATTCTTTGTTTTGTTTCAAAATCAAAATGCCTTGCATAT